GTCGGGAATATCACTTGAGCGATGACCACACTTCAGCATGTTTCAACAACAAAAACCCATGCGGGTTGCTGTAAAGAATTTTAAACTTCCCATGTGTCTCGGATTCCTTTATGTACGGGCTGCCTTTTAATGCACAAGTGTCCGCCATTTAAACTAAAAATTCTTTGTCTTTTGCTTTACTTTACCGATTCGATTACTTTTATTAATGTCTTCTAAAATATTGTTTCTATTTACATTTATTTTAACTGTTTTAACGATTATAGAGACTAAATACTAACATAAACCTTCATAAGTTATGTAATATGTTAGTATAGGTAATAGAATGTATTATAGTTCATATAATATCAACAAAGGACAGCTTAAATTAAGCAAGCAAAAATTAACTTTTGTCTGAATACATCACAACACTATTCTAAACATCCAAAAAGAAAAATATACCTAATAGGTACTACTATTTTACTAACTTACTAATACCACTATTTTATACGTAACAGTGACGCACGCAGAGGTTCTTATATATATATATATATGCCTATGAAAGTCATTATTAAAAATAAATGGTGTCGAGATCGCTTAAAGTCTGTAAATTCAGTGTATAATTATGCGTCATTAATCCTGCCAATACTTAAATCACAGCACATGACCAGGACTAATCTAGTCGAAACGAGAAACCCCCGTCATAAATTACGAAAAGGTCCGTGTTTTAACATGTGGCCCGCAGCTGCAGAACTCTGATGCTCCAATTTTTTTTTCTAGAACATTTCAAAAATCACTCAGCGTTTCGATTCTCTGTCGCTAATTTTACGACGTTTGAACTTTTAGTTCCTTTAAAAGAATTGCTCATTAGTGTCGCTGATCATGTCTTGTTTATTACGTAATTTAACTCTATGGATCTAAATTAATTAATAATAACTTAATATTCAAAAGACATTCATTAATTTCGTATTACGCTTAAAACTAATGTCATAGTTATTATTTCCAACTAGCTGTGCCCGCGAATTCGTCCGTATGGAATTTAAAATAAGTAAAATTTCTAAAATCAAAGTAGCCTAAATTACTCCTTATTACATGAGATCAAAATCGTTCCAGGCGTTTCAGAGATAATTTTTTAATTTTTTTTTACATTTTAGAACACCTTTTTACACAAGGTTCTCTAGTCCCAAACTAAGCAACGCTTGTACTATGAGTACTAGATCAATGATAAACATACTTTTCTTTTTAAATAAATACATATATAAACACCCAGACACTAGAAGAACAATATGTTCATCACACAATATTATTCCAGTAGTGGGGATCGAACCCACACCCTCTGGCGCAAGAGGCAGGTACGCTACCCACTACATCATTCGGGTCGTCAATTATCCGGAACAAACAGACAAAAATTGTCAAAAATATTATTTTAGTATTACCGTCTATAAATCCATATGCATTTAGTAAAACGCTGTTATTTTAATATTACAGACTCCAATTTTATTTATCTGTATAGATGTATTGAAGATCATAATTTGATCCTTCAGTAGAGAAAGAATTATATAGATTTTTCAAGTAGTTAATTAAATTAGTACATAATATTATTATGCATTATAATTTCGGGTGTGTGTGGCACGCTTTTTTAAAACTTGTCAAAGCCTCTAAAATCCCTCAGGTCTTGAAGATGCTCATGGGCGGCGGTATTCACTTAAAATCAGGTGAGCCATTTTGGCGCTTAACAAAAAATAATATAAAACATTTTACTGAAAAAATCCTGTATAAATTAAATCTCAACTTGCGATGATGACGTCACGAAAATCCAAATGCAGCGAATAAACAGGAAAGCAGCCAATCGCACGCGTGACCAAGTTCATAACAGAGACCGATTTAGGCAACGCGATCAATTTCGGTAGCACCCCTCGCTAAACTGCTCGTAAAGCTTAACAATGGAATTGGCCTTATTATGACACCCCATAAGCTACGCTCACAATGCAGCTGCGTAATATAATAATTTTATTATTATAATAAAAGGCAAAAATATTATGCATACGCCTTATGACACGGGAGTCAATCTCCAGTGACATCACCGTCTATACATGTGTATATAATTTCAATAAAAAATAATTTTTTTTTTGGTTAATTTTAATAATAATTTAATTTGATACGAATTTTTTTCTGTTAAAAACTAAAAGTCTTATGAGGTATATGCGTTTTACAAACGCTATTAAAAGGAAAACCTGTCCCTGGTGGCAATCAAAGCCACGACTTGTAACCCTGAAATCTATTACTTTTTGTAATGATCATATACAAATACAATTATCAACACGGATAATGTAGGTACTATAATATAAAAAGTTAACAAACTGATGTTATATTAAAAATCTAAAAAGTGTTACAAATCACCTGGTATCACCGTCAAAAAATAAGATATGAAACAATTAAGTAATCATTTATGCTACGGGTCAAGTATTACGTTAAGTTCTCAGATGCGAAACCGCAGGACAATACTTGGAAGGGATAAACAGGGGTACCAAATAAAAGGAAATTTTAAATCTCACACTGAAACGCATCCTCTATCTAATACAGAATGTTAATATAGTTACAAAATAGACAAAAAACTTCTAGCATGTATTCTGATCTGTATCTCGCGTTGTGATTAAGGTCAAAGCAGTTCATGATACAAAATTTTCCACGACGGGCATTTTAAAGTGAGCCACTTTAAACTGTCAGTCACACTCAGCCTTTTCAACGTATTCAGACTGAAATTAGCATAATTTTCCGCTCAGTAGTCTATGCGAAACTGTCGTTTCGGACGTTACAAAAACCGCTACGTCGAGATATTCGTTGACTATTGTCTTGATAATGACGCGTTGAAGAAAAAAATCGTGCAAATTTAATATGCACGATTTTTTTCGTTAATAGTGCTTTCCTTCCAAATACTGCATTGACATCAAAATTTAAGAAGCGTATCGATCTGAATGGTTTATTTACAGCAGCTGACGAAACGTTTATTACATCTTCATTTGATTAAAGTGTGTACTATTACATTTTACGTCACTAGAAGTAGTTAGGAAGTATAAACAACAACATTATTATGGACAACACGATGTAATCAATCATTTGGCGCCGATGAATAACCTTTATAGTCGGTACGTGTAACAATTGAAGCTCAAGCCGTTATAAAAGTGCGTACAATAGCAATACTCCAACGTATCTAGCTCTATAACAAGTCCATATTTTTATTAACGAAACACAAAACCGACTTCAAATATCTCGCTCTGTATTCATTTTATAATCGATTTTCAGGAGTTCTCTAAGTATCTCCGGAGCCCAAGATCCAATACCAATGAAATTAATATGAGACCTCATGGGAAGCACCAGCTTTCAATCAAAATAGAATTATTAAGCTAGTTTTTGTCCCCATGCTCCTTAAAATAGATAACAGTTTAATTTTATTATTTTGGTTGGAATTAATAACGCCATATCAGATACGTAAAGAATATCGATAACTTATTGATAACTGACATAATCCTTCTATTTTTAATTTTATTCAAATTAAATATTATATTATACTCTCTTTTATCGAAAATTATATTAAAAGTAAAATCAAAATTTATTTCATACATATTAAGTTTATGGCTGATTGAACCAAATCTTCTCTTTACGACATCCATTAATTCTGCAGTATTTACCTAATGATAAAACGGGCCATATAAAAAAGAACGGCTAACCACCATAACTATGTTTTTAAATTTCACACAATACTGCCAATAGGTATGAAGATTAAAATGCATAAAACGTTCGCAACTCAATGGCCCACAATATATTTACGTCAGACAGTTAATAGAACATTTCATTATTTCAAAGCACGTCTTCACTAGTTCACTACAGCTAAGGACATGGATAAATTGTAGACACGGATAGAGGCCTTAATAACTTAATCAATGTAACAAGTACTAACATATTTACTGAATAAACAGAACTTCGACGTTTTTTTAAACGTTGCCCTTATTGTAGGACCGTTTATCCCGTTTTCTTCTGAGGTTGTTTTATTTAATATTTATGTTTTTATAATTTTTAATTGAATTTTACATTATCCTTTAGTGTAAGGACGTTTAACATACAAAAATTTCACGTGGATAAACAACCAAATCCGTAAATTATATGTAAGTCACACAAATAGTTGTCCCGTGGAATCGAACCCACGACTACCGAACCGAAGCCAATATCTTAAGTTAAACTGTGCTAAGGAGTCAAATTACATACATGTAATTATTATGTATTTAATACGCACATTAAATACATACATACACATTTATATGTTATATTTTAGATTTTTATAGGTTTTGTTGTATTCTATTTTACTATTCAGTTCTATATTTTAATTTTATACATCAATAATGTAACACTACAGGTTTGCCATAAAGTTATAATATATGATTGATTTCAATGATTTCATCATTGTAAATATTTGTCATAATTTTCGTGAGATCTACATTATTCTGCTGTTAGTGTAAAATTATTTATGACGTTTTTGTAAGCTACAGAATTTTATTTTATTTAACTACCATTAAGTTTCAGAACGTAACAAAATTGATAGTATAACATTAAAATTTACAATTCAATCATGTTGATACAAGGCTAAGAACAAATTAAAGTTGTTTTTCTTACTTTTTAACTCCCTACTTAATTAGGTTTTCTCCTCTAAACTTAAATTTAGAGCGGTTTATGTAAACATGACAACGAAAAAATGTAAATAATGTTATGAAAGCTTTTTTGTCATCACTATATATTTTAGAAGAAAGTATTCTACACAAAAATGTTTTTTCTCTTAAGCTGTATTCCTATTATGACTCTAGACGGTACTCGTAGAGTCGCAATAGGAGTAACACTATGACATAAAAAACATCCAAAATAAAAGACACGAATTCTAACTTAAGAATTAGCTACTTTACTGGTAAATAAAGCGCACACTAATTCATCTATTATTAGTTTCAACAGAGTTAAAATAAGATAAATGCACGTACTTTTACTTCTCCGCTCTCGCCGTGGTCACATGGCTATACATTGGAAAGTTTTTGTTAAGTTTTACGATCTCGCACTAAACCATCACTGTATCAATGCAATGCAACTGTCATCACTTTCCTGGGCGATATTCGGTTGGCGTTTAATTGAGAAATTCACAAGGCGTCTGTTTTGCTTTGCAACTGTGTCTCGTTTTATTTGTTATCGTGAGGCGGCCGGCACAGCAATGTCTCGCGCGGAACACATCCGTTGTTGCCGCGCGCGCGACTCGGATTGAGTTGTGTCGGGACTCGGGTGTCGTCTTAGGGACGCGCACACCGCCTCGCTCGCTGAGATGACAGCTTCGATGTCTTCTTCCCTTCCCGGCCCTACACCCTACACCCTACTCCCACATCTCGTGGCCGCGTAATAGACTTGTCGTGATTTTGTTTCTTTTAACCTCCAACCGGTCCGCGCGGATCGGGGATTGTCTTTAGGTTGAACGGTTTGAATTTAGAATAGACTACATTGGGCTATAGATGAAATTATTTTTTATTTAATAATTAACGATATAAAGAAAAACGTCTTTAAGGATATAGACAAAATCAGCAAAGGTCTAAGACACCTTTCGCTTTAGACTTTCTAAGTTAAGGTTTAAAAGACATTTTTGTTACATGATTTCCTGCTGTAACTTTACCATCCTTGAAATTCCATTTATACTCATAATAATTGTGAATATAACATAAATGTATATGTTTTCTAATAGCTAAATAATTTGTGTGGAGATTCATAGCAAAGTAATTATTAGGAGCTTTGCCGCCTACGCTGCCACGGAATATTTTTTGTTAAGCACGACCGGACTTAAGTACCTATCGAACAAAAAAAAGGTTTATTTTAAAGCTGCGTTGATTGAGTTGTTATGTCGGGAGTTGGAGCGATTTCATGCTCTCGGCAACAGTTTATAAACAGCGGATGGCGTGTTTAATAGCAATACCGATTACGATTTTTCTTTATATGACTAGTTTTAAGAACATGTATTTATATTTGTAACATTTATTATATTTCTAATAATAATACATTTTAAGTCTTTTAAGAAGTAACATTTACCATTTAATAATAATAAAAAGCTACATAGAACTAAATTGTTTGAATACCTCCAGTGATAAATTTATTCAAACGATAGAAAAAGAATTATAGAGTTCTTTGATTCAATACACAAAAACGTTATAGTCAAATTCGAAGTCAAAATTTCCTTATTCAATATAGGCCTTATTATACGTCAAAAATCATCACCGGTTTACTAAATTACACATGACCAGATAGCAACAGGCACGAAATTTCTGAAAGAAACGTCTTATTATATCTATATTTTTTTTGAAGTATTCATTTTTAAGTATACAAAATAATTTAAATATAAAATCAGCAGAAGCTAGGGCAGTTGCAAATGGGGCAAAATGTCATGACGGATGACGCAAGGAAGCCTCACTTCTTAGCATTTGCGGATTGCAGTTCCGCATTGCAGCTAAGAGAAATGGCTCCACAAGTCAGTCACTCTACCAAGACTTACAAACACTAACACAAACACATACTCAGGCACAGATATCAACACACCCAGAAATAATACAAACACAAGCACACAACGCACATACATTAAATTCGACACAAATGCTAGCGTGGGGTGAAAAAGGGGAACCAGGAATAAGGATCAAGGGAGTAGCTATCTTTATGGATAACAACTCGGAGAGACTCGGGATAAGCTTCTGCAATGCAAAGACCAAAAACTACGTCAAGATCTCACCCGGCCTCGCTACCCTGTTGAATGGCAGCAAATTCAAGACAAGCATGAAACGCAAAACTGAAATTCTGCAAGCATACAGGAGAAACAATGACAGTCTTCTCCAAACAAAACTAGTGGAAGCAGAGGCAGCCATCTACAACAACACCACCTCAGAGGTTTTAAAGGGAACCATGAGGCAGCACATGGCGGCCTATAACGAGTCTCTTGGCTTCGTCGAGCCTGATGAGGAAAGGACAGAACAAACGGGTCACCCAACGTTTAAAGCCGCCCCCGACAACCCGATAGTTATGCTGGACCACAGAAACCTAAGCATGGCAAACGCCGTCTCGGGAGCACAAGATCCGGAAGCACCTTGGACAGACTGGACGGTGCCGACTATTAGATGGATCAACGGGGTTCCCGGTTGCGGCAAAACAACGTGGATCGTCAAGAACTTTGACACAGGGAGGGACGTTTTAGTCACCACAACAATAGAGGCGGCGAAAGATCTTCGCGAAAAGCTTGCTAGTCGCTTCGGCGCCAGTGCAAATACCAAAGTGCGCACAATGGCTTCGGTATTGGTAAATGGGTTCAAAGAGCCAGACAAGAAGACCTGTACTCGGCTCATGGTCGACGAAGCCCTTATGAACCCCTTTGGAGCCATTGTGATGGCAATGCGACTGAACGAAGCTAAAGAAATCCTGCTGATTGGTGACATCAACCAACTCCCCTACATTGACAGGGAAAACCTCTTTTCAATGCAGTACACTCGCCCAAACCTTGTGGCAGTGCTGTGTACGCATAGGAACCCGATGGATGTAGCATATGCTCTCAACGAAATATACAGTGGCATATACTGTTCCAGATCCCTTGTGCATTCGTTGAGTATTGAAAGATACTCCAACGCGCAAATACAGAAAACTCGTCGAGAAACGCTTTTCCGAGTCTATACCCAGGCGGAAAAAGAGGCCCTTATCAACCAGGGATATGGATCGGGCAACGGTTCGCGGGTTCTCACCATCCATGAAGCACCAAGGACTAACATACGGGTCAGTCGTTTTCATGCGTACAAAAGTGAGCAAGCTACAGCTGCACGACAGCGTTCAAAATGCCGTAGTGGCGGTATCCCGGCACACGATCAGCTGTGATTACTACACAGACGACTGTGACGACGCAACAAGCCGCCTTATCCAAAAAGCAATGGCGGCATCAACCTACAGCCTTAAAATGGCAATTAGGAACAGAGACGCAGCGGTCGCAGAGAGACTAGCAAAGAAATAACACCTATTACCAAATAACCTGAGACGACGAGATCTCCGTCTATTCTCCCTACAGCAAAAACTGTGCAAATCAAAAATATATAGAAATTAAACAATATATAAATACAGCGTGTCGTTACCATCGCGACAATAAATGAACACACGTCTAACGCTACTTGCCATTAATCATAAAAAAATATTAACGCTAAACAAAATCCGTAATTAAAAAAAAATATTTTTCACACAAACTTATTAAGTAAAAAAGAAACATAATTTGTAACATCCTATACAACTCGCACCATAGCGTCCTATTACAAGCCTCTCCTTCTAACAGTACATTTTGTCTCTTTTAAATTCATTCAACCCATTCATATGCTTTGTGACCTTTACAAATGAATTTTACGTTACGCTTTTATATGTAAGGGTGTTCTAAAATTCTTTGTTTTCGAAAATTTAATAACTCTGTAAATATTGATGTTTAAAGAATTTAAATGTTTAATACAACTTTAAAAACTTATCCCCTATATGTGTGTTTATTTATTGTCGCGATGGTATACGCTGTATATAAAAAAAAAAATACAAATATGAACTCACTGCTGCACCGCTACCAGCCCGATTGATGTACGCGGCGGTGACAGCCCAAAAAGAAATTTTTTTTTTGTTATTATTTCGAAAGTATGCAGGTTTCCTCACGGTGTTTTTTCTTCACCTTTCTTTTAAGTGGTCACAGAACCCTTAAGTAAAACACTGTACGTGTAACTGTAAACTAATTATGCTATTTATCGCTATTTTTTTTCATTGTTCTCGTATGTTTCAAGTTTTCTTTTAACATTAAACAATAATGAATCCGAAAACAAAACGATTTGAGACATTTCTCCTACCACATATGGCAAATCATTAATATAAACTAAAAACATAACTGTGGTTCCTACCACAGTGGTCCTCCACGCAACAGTCTTCGCCATTGCACGAATGGGGGAAGGAATTCGTTCGGGGAAGTACCACGACCTCACAGAAGACCGGCGTGAAGTGCAAGTATCTTACTTTGGCTTTTCGTCTGCTGAGCAATATGAGCCGCATTCACTAAAAGGTGGCAACGCATCTGCAACTCTATTGGTGTTGAGCTGGCATTGCCACCTTTCACATTAAAGAAAGCTAAAAACGTCAATAAGTCTGAGCCCATTTGTGTTTTCAGTTATCCGAAGATCTATTCCTGAGCGATCGATCCAGTAATCGATACCTGAGGAACACCGGCATAAATTTGCAGTATTTCATTAACTTTGGGAATTTGCTATAATCTAAACAGGTATTAAATATTTAGGCCAATAAACAAAAAAATGCTATTATAAGATCAATTGCCCATATTGATAAGCGTTGTAGGTCTTGTTTTCTTTTTATTTAAATTTTTAAAAGCCTTAATAATTTCCTTCGGACCTTTATGACCCACTAGCTGTTACCCGCGACTATGTCTGCGTAGAATAGGCTGAAGGCGTAACATTCAGACAGAAAGACAAATATACATAAAAATATGTATATAAATTATATAGCCTATGTGTCATTCTGATTCATAAGCTATAATATTGTAAAGTTTCATTAAAATCCATTCAGTAGTATTTGCGTGAAAAAGTAACAAACATACATACAAACTTTCGTGTTTATAATATTAGTAAGGATATTTCTTTCAAAAGAAAGCGTTAGACTCAAAATCAACGTTTCAAAAACTAAAATAATGTTGGTAGAACGGAAACACATTCATCATCCTTCACTAGCCCTCCAAGACTATGAAAAAGTGGAACGATTCTTTTGCCTAGGTTCGTTACCTTCATTACGAATGACGGTGATTGTACCAATGAGCTGCGCCTTTCTCAAGAAAATTTCGAGGAACAAGAGTAACGTCGAGCTACCAAAAAATGTCTCGGGCAATCCTTAGATGACTGATGATTCATTTTTAATTATCGTGGCGAATACACCTACATAGCATGTAGATCATAGATTCGTAATATATTAACTTGTGTTTAAGCGCCATCTATTAGCTTGATTTTAAATAAAGGACATAAAACATTTCCACTGAAACTGAATACCATCTGTCTGTGTGCTGTGGACGTCAAATCAATCAAGCAAGTGTCACCGCCATTGTCAGGTGTCAGTGGCAATGCGAACTTGCGAAGCAAACTTTTGAAGCTTTTTGAATTGAAGTAGTTTACTTTATGTTAAGTTTTTAATTCTTTAAAACCTGTTGCATTCTTTTATTATTATATTGATTACTTTACATTTTGAATGATAACTACAGTCAGATGATCCGATGTTTTTAACTTGCAAACAATGCTGTTGTTTACTTATCTTATTATTGTCGCTTTATAGGAACATGGCATTAAATCCGGTGAAATATTTTAGTAAAGATTTAATTAACAAACCAACACCACTAGACGTTTGGTTGCAAGGCACGATTGAGCAAAATGTTGGAAACAATATATTAATAATATCCGATAACTTCGGAAAAGTAAAGATAACAAAATGTGAATCAGCTGATGGAGTTATAGATAAAAACTCTCTACGTAAAGTTAAGTATTTAAGAAATTATTATAGTTAATCATTTAATTTGCAAACAAAAATTGTAAATACACCCTGATTGTGGGTTCAATCCCCACTACTGGAAAAAATTATGTGATGAACATGGTGTTTTTATAGTGTCTAGGTGTTTCTATATGTGTAATATGTGTTTATTTACAAAAGAAAAGTATGTTTAAGTATGTTTATTAGTTTTCTAGTACCCATAGTGTTGTGTAAAAATGTGTCCTAAAATATTTATTATTTATTATAATTATATATGATGATTTTAGCATAACAGATGTTTAATCTATTAACCTTGGTATTTGTATAAAATATATGCTTGTGTTAACTTTACTATAATTGATTATGATTTACTAAAATTATGAATCAAATGTAATATTTCCCAAGTGTTAATATTTGTGGCAATGCTATATCTCCCTTTAGTCTTTGTCAAAATTAATGATTTAAACATCGCTTTATGTTTAAGTTAATTTTATGATTAAAAAAATTGTTACATTATTGATTTTTACCACTATTCTCCAAAATAAAATACTACATTTGATTAATTTATACATATTTCCAAATTAAATTGCTATTTGGTTACTGACCATGTCTGAAAATTTTCACAGTTCTGTACCTATTTTTAAATTTGCAATGATTTTTAATTAATTTTACGCTACACAGGTACATACTGTTGCATTATAGGAGTAGCAACAAAAACTAAAGGTCTTCCAGAAGTTAATGCTACCAAATTTATTGACCTTAGCACACATCCTCATATGAAAATGACATGGGAGACTGAAGTTACAGAAGCACAATTAGTACTGCAGGGAAGAATAGTACCTAAGATTTAAATAAAAACTTCATTTGAATAAAATGTGGTATATTTTCCTCCACCTACAAATATAATCTGAATTGGAAATGACAATATTAATTCCATTTCTAGTGAATAATGTAAGAAACAGTCTATAAATACTTAATTTTATTTAAAATATTCTTTACTGAGCACCATAACAAAATATTAATACATTCGACATTAGCTTAAAATTTATGGCAACTATGTTGCTGAGTAACAAATTTATGATGGAAATAATATATTTTTTTTGTTTTAATGTACAAATTTTTATTTATTTTTAGAAAACAAATATATAAATAAATGCTTTTTATTAAATTTATTGTGACAACAGATAAACACAACATTAAATACCATAGAACCTAACAGAGCAATATAATATGGTAATACCCTTAATCCATAAAGTGCTTAACTTTCTAGATTTTTATAATTTGGAACCAGATTTCAATAGTGGGCCCAGTTTCTGGGCAAGCATCAAATTTCCAGAAATCTTAAGTTTACCCTTCAAATATGCAGTTTGTGGATTAAGGGTTCCTGATGCTATTTCAATTAAGTCACTATCTGATACTGTCAGTGTTGTGTCTGCTTTGCCACTCTTGGGTTGACCTTCGTGGACCACTCCAGATTTAAGGTCCAAAGCTGTAATAAAATATTTAGAAATGGTATTGGTAATATTATTAACTAGCTGCTGCCCGTGACTACGTCCGCGTAGAATAGGCTGAAGGCGTAACATTCAGACACAAAGTCTATCTTATGTGTCTTTCTGTCTGAATGTTATGCCTTCAGCCTATTCTACGCGGACGTAGTCGCGGGCTGCGGCTAGTACATAATATATGTATATAAATTATAGCCAATGTCTAATTCTGATGTATAAGCTATATCATTGTAAAGTTTCATTAAAACCCATTCAGTAGTATTTGCGTGAAAGAGTAATAAACATCCATCCATACTTTCATCTGTATAATATTAGTAAGGATTAACTATTAATAGCATAGACCCCATTGTACAGTGGGTATTGAGTTTGAGTCTTAAGTTCACCTTGCAGACTGGGGGTAATAACCAATTTCACATGTCTCGAAAATATTTTTATATCTAATCATAACAGCAGCTGCACAATGTTTTACTAAGCAATGAGCACTATGCAAATCATAACTTACGATTGCAAAAATTTCACACCAAAATTGGATTTAAACAACAAAAAACTAGAGAACACTATGCTTATTTATCAAAATATATACTTACTCCACTGTTTAATAGTCTTTCCATTCTCCGTAATGTTATAAAGATATACAGCTCCAACAGCTTTCGCTTGCGCAGGGTTGGCTTTAACATGTTCATCAATTTTGTTGAAAAGTCCATCACTTTTCAACGCACTGGACGATGATGATTGTTGGGGAGCAGTTTCAGGTGGCAAAGCAGCATCACCCTTTACAATCTTTTTCAAATCCATATATGCACCTATATGAAAAAAAGAAAGAACTAGTGAGAAATTGAATTTTTTATTAATTTAAATCAGGATAATAGAAAAACAACATTCATTTTTTAGCCCAATTGGCTACTAGGGCTGGGATAATATTTAGAACTGTCTCATCCTACTCAATGAAGCATTTCTTAATCATACAATTTAACCAACTATGTTATAATAGGTACATATAAAACTTGGTGTTTGATTTTACAAAGTTTACTTATTATATACTACTACTATAGCATTTTTTAATTAGTGGATAGATGTGAGTTTCTGAAGCATTTGTTATCTTCATTATGTTGTAAAAAAATACCTGAGATAACAACATTGCCGGTTTCTTTGATCTTAGTTTGGAAGTGAACTCGGTTGCCTTCAAGCCACATCTCGGTGACTAGGGTCTGGCCCGGTAGGACGGGCTTAGCGAAGCGCGCCTTCACTGCCTTCACGTTGGTAGAGTCATTGCCACCATATCTGTTTTCATTTATGTTTATATGTTAATTCTCAAAGATTTAAACATTCAAACACCACTTTAAAGCATATGTACGCCGCTAGTGTAAAAAATTAACCAAGTAGAATTAAGTTAAGATTTTTATTAAAAAAAAATTGTTTAAAAATGCCATGAACAATTAAAGATAATGACAGGATTTTAATTGTAATTTTATATAATTGTAATTTCAATTATGAACCATTTTAATTGTATTTTGTTTTTGTTTTGCATGAATAATTCAACACAATTTATATTTTTCAGAATAAATGAATATGAAATATGAAATGTTAAAAAACAAAAAAGACTGACAAATGTTATTTTTCAAAATAATATACATTTCAATGATAATTAATACTTACACATTATTATATTAACATTTGATGACTGAACATGTATCAGTGTGGTATTTCCCACAGGTCAAGACGTTTATTCATAATACAGTCACATCAAATAAATCCATTATATAATTGTTATCATATACAAAACGGTTTTTCTAAACGTTGTAATAACCATGTATAATCTGTTGTAAAAACGACTTCCATTATATACTTTCAATCCCTTGTCAGTCTCATTTTCCTTTACATTTTTTTGTTATTACCTAACTTGTATAGTATCTTTATTACTTTTAAATATACATTTTATTTCATACTCTTTGCCTTGCCTATATGATGAAGGACAAGAACACAATGTACTCACTTGGCCAGGACGTGTCTTGCGGAGAAGCCAAGAGACGCCAAGCCGTGGAGAATTGGCTTGGAATGACCCGAAACTGTCGCCACATTTGGGTCGATGTGAAGTGGGTTCAAATCGCCGGACAACCTTCAACAAGAGTTTTAACAATGTAAATAATGAGGCTCACTGTATATATCGCAGTTTACAACCTCCCCCAATAGATGGAGTGACGACACATGTACGGGAAGTCGATGGATGCAGGTAGCTCAGGATCGTACTTCGTGGCAGTCTATGGGGGAGGCAGTGGACTAAAACAGGCTGAAATGATGATGATGACTGTACTAAACACGGTGACTAAACGTGGCTAAGAAAAATGTGAGAGGGTGGCATGCGAGCTGGCGGTTCGCCCGATGTAAAGTAATCATCGCGCCGCCTATTGAGATTTGCAACACCAATAGGGTTGCAGATGTATTGCCAAATCTTCAAAAAAGTGGGCCCCGGCTACCTCATTCACCAGACAAAACGACACTGACGCTTCCACTTCATACGGATCTTCTGTGAGGTCGTGGTACTGACCCAGACTAACCAGCGCATTCTTACAACAATGAAGACTGTTGCGTGTCCCTACCACAGTTATATCATCTCCCTCGGCGATAATTGTTTAGGTCCTTAGGTGGGAAATCAAATGAAAAAGCATTTGGAGTGAAATTAGATTCAAAGATGTAGGTAAAGACCATGCTATCCAGTTGACTAAGGCAAATGATATTGCAGAATAGTTAAGGATCTAAAACAATCGCTGAGTGACACACCCAATGGCCCAAAAGTTAAGTAAAATCCTATATATTATTTCAAAAATATACAGGCTCCCTCACGATTATTTCGTTCATCGCTAAGTAAACGATAAGTCTTAAAATTAATAATTTCATTCGCGCCGGCTCGGGGGATCGAACTCAGATTGCTCAAGTATATTGAATTAAAAGTGGTAAAACAGATTTACACAAGGTACTCTAGTCCAAGGCTAAGCAACGCTTGTACTATGGGTACTAGATAACTGGTAAACATACTTAAACATACTTTTCTTTTGTGAATAAAAAAAATTACATATCCCTACTTCCTCACTTATACTATAAAGGCGAAAGTTTGTATGTATGGATGGATGTTTGTTACTCTTTCACACAAAACTACTGAATAGATTTTAATGAAATTTTAAAATGATGTAGCTTATACATCAGAATAACACAGGCTATAATATATAAAGATATTGTGTGAATTGTACAAAATATAGGTAATTGTAACGCGGGTGAAGTCGTGGATAACTGCTAGTTATACAATATAAGCCCAATACGATGCAATATAACCCAGACACTGAAAATACATCATCAACACATATGTTCATCACACAATATCTTTCCAGTAGTGGGGATCGAACCCACACCTGGGGCGAGAAGCAGGTTTACTACTCACTGCGCCAAATGGGTCGTGGATCGATAACATTATCCTGTGTCGTAAGGACGTTTCATGTACGTTTTCCTTGTGAATTCGCACATACCTATAGAGGGCCGCTTGGTCTTCGCTGGTGCGCTGCTCTAAGACTGCGTCGGCCGGTCTCTTGGGTGCGGGCAGGACATTCACAGACTTGGCGCTGTTCCTGGGCCCACCGAACCCGCCTTGACCCACCACGAACACGTGCTGCTGGGTGCGGAACGCCAGCGTTTTGTTCTGATAGACCTCGCCTGCGAGTAAATAGAGCGTCAAATGACGATAAATCTCTTGTACTTACGCGATTACACATTACTGAATGAAGCCAATCGAATTTCATTTCGATATTCGAAACAAAAGAAAAGTTTTAGCAAAGAACCATCTCAATCACGTTCAGCTTACAAATAAAAAAACCGCACCATAATCGGTGCATTCGTTTGGAAGCAGTAGAGGAGCTTGAGGCCACAGACAGACACATAGGTATACAGACAGACACGATAAACTTATAAAAAGCCGTTTTTTCCATCGGGGATTTAAAAACCGACAAGTGCGAGTCGCACTCGCGCATGTAGTGTTCCGTACCAATATCAATAAAAACGGCAAAAATCATGTCTGTTGTATGGAAGCCCCATTTTAATGTCTTTTGTTTTAATTCTGTTTTTTAGTATTTGTTGTTATAACCGGCAACAGAAATACGGCTGACTATCACGGTTCACGAGATCTTCTTCGGATTCTTAGTAATGGGATTCCGTTTTACCCTTTGGGTACGGAACCCTAATAGACTAAAGTGACCAAGTACTGGTGGATGGGTGGTGAAAATAGTGATGCAAACGCACTGTTCACAATCGCCACTGCACTGGAGCCCTTGTCCAGCATGTCCACTACGTAGTTTCGCACCGTGAACTCGCCGTCGGTACCGGGAAAGTCGCCGAGGAACTCGATGTACTGCTCGCCGTGGAGTATCTGCGGTTTGTTGTATAGATATACATAAGAATGTAGACATTGGAACAGGCATAAATCGTTATTTTTAGCATTAAAAACATTACCCTTGCTTTCTGATAACGTCACATCAAATATATGTAATGTGTATGCATAAATTTCACGTTGACAAACACCCAAATACGAGACAATTATCTGTGGGTCACACAAAAACCGTCCCGTGTGGGAATCGAGCCCGCGACCGCAAGCGAAACAATATCTTAACAACTGCGCCATCGAGTCATTTAAGAAAAATACAAATGTTCAAAATAAAATTAACTTTTGTAGCTTCTTTACAATTTTTACAACATTTCGTCGTATCCGTCTTTTATTTCCTTTCCTTCGCCATTCATCTCTTCCTTCTTTCTCACTTTATATTAGCCTCGCTCGCACTCACGTCCTTTTTAACCGAAACGACTCCAAAAATTGTTAAACTTTGTTAGAGGTTAGGTAGGTTAGTTTACATAGGATAGTTTTGCAAGATTTGATTACATTCGATTTTGTATTATCTTAACCTTTTTAGTGCCAATAGAGTTTTTTTCAAGTAGCTTCTTTTTTTGTTAAGAAGCTTTTTATTTTACGTATTATTACACTAACGTTCCATTTCCGCCCAAATTAAAGTTGTAATTCGTTTAAACCCAGTGCAAACTTACGTTGGTGAAGTCCGCATGTTTCCCGGGCGGCATGGACTTGCCCACGATTGGCGACTCCATCACCATGCCGGGCAGGATGAAGAAAGTTGGCAGCGCCATGAAGCTCTCATGGCTCTCGTACAGAAACTTCAAGTCGGTCGGATTGACGACGGAGGCGCCGACTGGAACAAGCCGAGTTAGCTACATTTTGTTGACCATAAGCTAGGCGGTGCGATGAAAAATTTTAACCGACTTCGAAAAAGAAAGGGGTTTCTCAATTCGACCGTATATACAGCGTGTCTTTACAATCGCGACAATAAATGAACACACATACAGAGGATAACTTTTTAAAATTGTATTAAAAATTTACATTCCTTAAACATCAATATTTACCGAGTTATAAAATTTTCCAAAACAAAGAATTTTAGAACATCCTTACGTATAAAACTGTAACGTAAAGTTCATTTGTAGAGGTTACAAAGCATATGAATGGGTTTAATGAATTTAAAAGAGACAAAACATATTATTAGAAGGAGAGGCTTGTAATGCGGCGCTGTGGCAACGAATGAAAAAGTCTCTGAATGTATCAATCAGTCTGTTGTACTGGTATAGGTGTTAAAAATTTTGTTTCTTTTTTTACTTAATTAGTTTGTTTGAAAAATATTTTTTTTTAATTATAGGATTTTTCAACGTTAATATTTTTTTATGATTATTGGCAAGTAACGTTAGATTTGTATTAATTTATTGTCGCGGTGGTAAAGACACGCTGTATATGTATATTATTTTATGTGTGTTCGCGGATAACTTCCTCGCTCATGAACCGATTTGGATGATTCTTTTTTTGTTGGAAAGGAGATATCCCAAGGGTGGTACCGTGATAAGGAAACCCGGATCTGCTGATGGCATCCCAGAGAAATCGAGGGCAATTCTCAAATGTAATAGGTATTAACAATGTTTTTTAGTTTCCGTACATACAAACAACAGAAATAATGTGTGATAATTTCAGAGAAAAGTTCGCGAAGTAAATAATAGAAATTTATGTAAATAGCTTTTCACACATTTTGTTTGTGTGAAAAGTTAGGTAAGCGAGCGGTTCACATTATGATAAGTGATCGTCTGATTTTGGGACAACTTGGCTCTACACGAAATTTTCTGAAGACGAATCCTACCACCACAAACCACAAAAGTCAAGCATATATATTAAGCGGTATTAATTATAATATATAATTTTTTTGTCGATGTAACTTAATAGTTCAATTCACTCATCATTTGTACTTTGCCCGTCATGTGAGACGCACATAATTATGTACTTTGCACGATGAATTTATGCATTTATTAAGCGTTATGTGAATTTTATCTGGCTTTGAAAAGATAAGGCAATGTAATGCAGCATTAAATAACACGATAAAAAGTTATGCAGTTACGATAATAATAGTATAATAAAAATGGTAACGTGAAACAACTCTGTTTGTTTCCTTTTATTATTTCTACTTGCTAACTATAAGCAAATAATTAAATGCACTAAAAGACTCAAACACATAAAACAGAATGCTGGACACAAATGTTGTTACTTGCATCGTTATCATGTAAATGTTACAAAGATAGTTCGATAACGGTACAAAAGCAATTAAAGAGAAATAATGTTCTCCGCAATAAATGCAGATGTAATAATGCAAACAGTATCTATGCCATATTGTTAACGACGTCCCGTTGCAATAATAAACAGCAACAGTGTGATACGCCAAAAAACGTTTTAGAATGTTGGAAAACCTGTTCCCCAAAGTATCACTAAGAAACTTGTTTAAAGAAACAAAAATATTGAATGTAGCTTCTCAGTACATACTTGCAAAAGTTATGTATGTCCAGAAAAATAAGAAGATTCCAAGATTTGGTTTGGTAATGGGCATGATGTAAATACTAGGAACAAGCATAAATTAGTTCTACCCTTAACTAGATTGGGTAGAATAAGTAAATCTTTTATAGGACAATGAATACGCTTTTACAACAAAATCCCAAATTACGTTCATAATGAATCCGTTGCTAAATTCAAAAAAATTGAAAAGGAACGTTTGTGTGTTAATGACTGTTATAGTATTAGTGATTATTTGAATGATAACACAAAATCTGGAAATTAATTGATCGCCCTAGGCTCTTTCTAGTGGAATTTAATACATTGTACACATATTTGTTATTTTTTGTCAAGTTAACTTAAAAACCAGTTTAAAAGTAATTTCTAAATAAACAATCGAAACAATCGATCCTGTAACAAACCTTACCACTATACCACAATGAATGGCAAAAATTGTTATTGTATTAGTTGTTAATATCTCTAAATTTAAAATTGTTTAAGCGGAGTTGGTTTAATTTTCTTATAAATAAAGGCTATTTTCTCTAAATACCAAAAATTTTAATCTGTTTCCTAAATTGTGTTTTCTTCGCATATATAAATGCACAATGGAATAATAATAGACCAGAAATGGTTAGAACACAACTTACAAGTTTTAACAAATGACCGTATGTTTCTAACTATAATAATGAAGACAATGACGATAACGTAGTAAAAAAACACCTTAATAAACATGTAAGGTCAGCAGTACGTCTGAAGAAACGTGTGGAAAATGACGCATTGTATTGTCTCTCTAAGCGAATGTATTTTCAATGTAAATTACATTCGTGTGATACGTTCGCGTCACATTTTTTATGATATTTAGATTGTTTTACTTTTTATCTTTGTCACTTACTGAATATGTTACAATAATAAAGTAAAAGCTACCTTAATGGCAAGGGCCTACTATAATGTCCAAGAATACATTGAGGACAAGGATGTTTGGAAATGACTCTTGCTCTGCACTTGCAAGACCCCTGGCTGCTGCTGATTTTATACCTAAATAAGTGTGTATAATTGCATCAAAAAGAACAAGACCGCAGAGTTTCTTGCCGGTTCTTCTCTGTGCAGGTCTAGTTTAGTGAACCGGTGGTAGACTTTTTTGGTGACGTTTAATAAGAGCATAAGTAGGGCCTATATTGAATAAATATACTTTGACTTTTTCTTAAAAATGTGACAAAAAAGCGTAGTATACTATTGCCATCATCCACAACATCCGTAGCTTGTCAACTATTTAAACACTCAATAAAGTGGTCCCCGGTTACCTCACTCCAGACAAAAGCCAAAAATATTAGTACCGTTCCACGATAAAATTATCCTGTGTTGTAAGGACGTTTTAAATTTCACGTGGAACGCACCTAGGTGCGAAACAACTATCTGTGGGTCACACAAATAGTTGTACAGTGTGGGAATCGAACCCACGACCCCCGACGCCGAAGCCAATACCTTGGCAACTGCGCCACGGAGTCATCAGGTTTTCAGGCAATCTTAGTTCAAATGCCGATTATGAATTAATAATTTATTACAATATCTTAGCACATGCTAGGCATTGAAGATATCTTATGGAAATATGCATACTTTCAAAATAATAACATGAAAAATACTTCGAAAATATCCCAAGCCCTATGTACAGAATAGGCCCTTTTCTAGCATTGGCATATACGAATACGTGTTTTTTTTTTTTTACTTTTAATTCTATTTTTGTGCCGAAAAATTGGCACTATAGAATTAAATTAAGGCCCATTTACACGATGCCATTTTCTTGTACATGCAAGAGCAATAATTGAATGCAATAAATTGCGCGCAATAATTGGTTAGACCATTTGTTGTTTAGACCATGCAACTTATTTATTGCTTCAATTTAATTGTATACAACAGGCAAGAAACTGGCACCGTGTAAATGGGCCTTTAGCATCGCCAGCCAGTGCCAGTTCACGGCTGGACAAAGGCTAAAAAGGCACAGCAGGCCACTTAGCTCGTTTCTGATAATATCCGCCTGCCAAAAACAACCTTAAAGAGGCGTCTCACACTTTCCACTGAACAACGACCTTATTGTCATTAACATTAATCATTTTTGAGACTTTAGAGAAATGCAACTATGTAGGAATACGTAAAGAATGGACAACACGTGGTACCTTACAACTTATATATTTAACATTCACAAAAATTCGACGTTTCATAAGAACGCGCAAGCGTCTCTTTGAATAAGAATATTTTGAAGAATATTTCAGTTGGAAAAAATAGTTGGGGGGGGGGGGGGGGGGGGGGGGGTTTAGTAAATATTAATGCCGTGAAAGTTTAGATTTCCTCACGAGTAGTTTTTTCCCAGGTGTTTAATGTAAAGACCAGATTTAGCATGGCAATCGCGTATCAATTTAACGAAGTCTAATTCGAGTTTTTAGAATATCGAAGTAAAGGCACTCACCGCCGAGTGCATACAACACGAGGTCCTTTGAGTTGTAGTTGTAATTGGACCAATACGCTTCTTTCTCGCTGTCCAATCTGCTTCGCTCCTCGAACTCCTGAATAGAAAACGTTTTAAATGCACGATTATTTAATGATAAAAATCAACGTAGGTAATTGCCTGTGTAATCTTATATTCACAAAGTAATGGGTTATTATTATCAATTTATATGCTATGTTTTTATTAGTAAATTGAAGCGATTAATGTAACATGTCTTTGTTGTTTATTATATCCATTTTTAGCGTTGCCAGATTTTAATAAACATTGATAAAAAATACCCAAATAAAATCTATTAACTCGTCTGAGAAACTGATTATTTAATTTAAAAAAAAATATTATTATTACTGTATTAAACTTGTTTGGAATGACCTCCTCTCCCCCCCCCCCCCCCCCCCTCCTCTCACCACGGGATAAGACCGTGATTACATCCTTTATTATCTCTTTGTGCATCTATTGGTGGGTCAGTTTTAAGTGATTAAATGTGCTAATAAAATTATATTAAATGGACGACGTTAAAGAAATAAACTCGCCTGCAGCTTCTCCACCAGGTCCACGGTGACCTCGGCGATCTTGTCCAGACGGTAGCAGTTCCTCATGTTCACCACTTGGGGCCACGCCTCCATGACGGACTCAACGGTCACTGGATCCGCTGGCTTCTTCCTGTGTGATACAGTTTCTGTGTTTATTAACGCTCACCAACTAAGTACATACAGAACATCGACATACAAATGGGTTTATCCAAATCATATAGGTGGAACAATAGATGAACACATGTTTTACTTTGAATTAGAAGACAGAAACTTGCTAACTAAAAAAAAATTATCTTTGATCTTTGAAAAAAAAAAAAACGAAAAACAAAATTATAAATTTAAACTTTGCTCGTTAACGTAATGTAAAATTATAAACATTTGAGATGCGTTTATATTTTTTCTTAATTACGTGTTTTTTTTTTTAGAATATGTATAATTATATCTAAGACACATTAATGAAAGAGAGCATTGTATAGTGATTAAGAATTTTTACTATGTTGAACGTAAAGGTTGAAATTTTAAGCTAAAAGCTAAACCATAATTTTTCTTTCACTTTTTAGGCAAAAGAAGGCAAAGGATCATGCAGTTAATAATTAATCTATGTTAATCACACTGGGGCCTCATGTAGCTTTTCTATGGTCTTTCTGAGATTATGAATAAATAACTCGTTAGGATTCAAATGATTTTAAATCACTGTGTCGTAACAATTGCATGACCTTTAAGCTCAATAATTCCACAATGAACAAAGGAAAATTAAAATACTACCAAAAATCAAGTAACCACCAACATTTCCAAGGTTAACAATATTTAAAACTATAATTAATGCGACCCTGCCAGTCCTGACAACTAAACAGTTTTCATTTGTACTAAAAAACATCTATAGAAACTTTAATGTGAGTTTAATACACAATTATCGAAAGCCTTTGTCAGAGCGAAGTTAGAAGCGCTTGGGCACTTTACCCGTACGCAAGTTCAAATCCTGGCAGTAGCAAATTTTGCAAATTCAACATTGTGGTCCTTAAGGAAAAAAATCAACACAGTTATGTATTGAACGCACATTTAAATTTCATCTTTAGCGCAGACTAGCAATAGAAATAATGAATATTCACGAATCTATAAAAACGTCTGCGTATTCCGACAAAGGCAGAGGAAGTTTTGCCGTTTTTATAGGTAAATGATACGGAACCCTTCGTGCGTGAGTCCGACTCGCACTTGGCCAGTTTTTGTTAATTTTTATTTGTTCTTTTCTATGTCATCCTTACCCTCTTCACGATTCTATCATGATTTCGCGTAAAAATTCAAAATTTCGTTTGGTCTAGTGGCAAGAAAGTATCTTCGAAATTCCATTTTTATTTTAAACAAACATCGTGCGAGCGCGCGCGCGCGTGTGCGTGCGTGCGTGTGCGTGCGTGCGTGTGTGTGTGTGTGTGTGTGTGTGTGTGTGTGTGCGTGTGTGTGTGTGTGTGTGTGTCTTCCCTTCTTGGCACAACGGCCATTCATATGGATGAGATTTGAGTTTTTTAATAGCTAAATTAAAACATAGGATGCACTGAATCCTGTAATCCTGTAAAAGCATAAAAATATATTTCAGTCGTAGAAAATCATCAATTCATAGACAAACCTCAGCGGGGTACCAATAGACCGCACGAGATGGTGCTTTGTGGCATATCCCAAAGTGGAATCGATGACGGCGCCATTCTCCGGGAACGTTTCGTGCACCATGTACGCCTAAAATTGAATACGAAACAATAACTATGGGTATGTTCACTGAGCTCAAAATTATAATTATATAGTCGCCGGTTAGGTTAGGTGCAGAGTTAGAGCAAATAAAAAAGGTTATTATAATCTATGAAACAAGTCGGGCGCATTGACTTGTCCCTACCATGAAATATAATCAAGATCAAATAAAATGACAAAAAATATACGTTAGACACGAACAGGTAAATTGAGGAATCGTGAACATTTTACCTCGAATCAATGTAATAACAATGGGACGAGTTATTTTGTCACTCATTCCTCAAACTTCGAAGCAACGGATGCTACCTACCTCGTTGGACTGGGTAAATGATACGAAACATTGTACATGTAAACGTGTTATAACAATTAATAGGTTTACGTCACTAAGCCGTAAAGAGACTAATAGAAATATGTAACTAAACTTTTAGAATCCTGTCCTTAACAACAAAAATATTGTTTCCTTGGCGCAAAGTTCAATTTCGGTTTTTCTTCCACCTAGCGGCGGTAGGCTTCCATCGGCAGACGAAGATTTAAGATTTTTGTTAAGCGTTCATTCACCTGTACGTAAATATGTGTGGCTGAATAATTTGTCATGCTTGTGTTATATTATTTTTATATCTCTTTGTATTATTCATTCTGGCAAATTTTTTGTCTAAATAAAGGTGTAATTAATATAAAGGTTTGAATTTACTTTTATTAATCACTAGATAGTATAAAACAAAGTCGTCCCGCTGTCAGTCTGTCCCTGTGTATGCTAAGATCTTTAAAACTACGCAACGGATCTTAATGCGGTTTTATTTACTAGACAGAGTGATTCAAGAGGAAGGTTTATATGTAAAACACATTGCACCCGTGTTAAGCCGGGACGGGTCGCTAGTATGATTATATAGCGATGATTCGACTTTCGCACTCGAAGGTACACGGACAGCCCTCGAGTAAACTCACCACGACCGGAGCTATGAGCTCGGGCTTCATCGCTTGGAACATCTCGGGCGGCAGTATGTCTTCAGTGAGACGCGAGGCAGCGGTTGGTACAATCGTGTTCACCTTTATGTTGTACTTAGCGCCTTCGATAGCCAGTGTATTCGCAAGACCGACCAGGCCCATCTTCGCAGCGCTACAAAGTAATGAGACCAGTTCCTGTATTTAGAGAATCAAACAACGCAAAGCGTTGCCAGTACCAGATAATAAAGTAAAAACTCGAACTGAAAAAATTTATATAAAAATGAATTCTAAAAATACTTACTAAATGAAACTATTTTTACGAATTTATCGCTAAAGTTATTAATTTTTGTGTCGATATTTTTAAAGAATGCCGGTAGCCTGGACTAACAATGACACTGAGACGTCCAACGCCTCAGTTTGTCCCCTGACGATGAACGTTGTAAAAAGTTCGAAACATCGGGGAAATTAACAATAGACTAAAAACAAACGCGATAAATCCGTGAACATAGTTTCATTTAGTAATGTGTAATCGCGTAAATACATGAAATTGTTATCGAAGAATACTTTATAAAACATCAAAAATAACAGACCTGTAATTCGCCTGGCCAAAATTACCAAACAGGCCGGCGTTGCTAGACGTCATTACCACGCGGCCATATTTCTGCTTCCTGAAGATCTCCCATACCGCTTGAGTGGTTTTGAAAGCGCCTTTCAAATGTACTGCTTGGATCAAGTCCCAGTCCTGGTAATTAATGATCAAATATCAAAATGTCATTTTAAATCTGATCCTTCCTTTATATATCTGTATCTTAAAAGGGACTAAGCACGCTTTTTAATTCTACCTGTTAGACTTTACATACACAAATTTCACATGGGCAAAAACTCAGAGCAGGAACAATCAAATGACCCCTGGCACAATAGGCTTAGCCCGATGTTTAGCAGCTATGTACTATAAATTCTTTATGAATACTAAGCAGTATTGTTGCATGGGGGTGCCATGGTATAGAGCAGAGGTGCCCAAATTTCGGTCGCCAAGAATAGGTAAAACAAAAGGAGACATATAGATTCTATGCAGAGCTTTTTGATCAAAATGAAAATATTCTTTGATTATAATATTAATCTCTCTTTGATTAAATATTAAATAACTGCCTTCACATATTCTTCACATCGACATATCTACGCGATTCTGCATTTTCACAAAAGAAAATTAAAAAAAAAATATATATATTATAATTGTATTTGAAAAAACTAAAATTTATTGAAATAAATCACTTGCAAATTGATGATGAATTTGTGTTGGCAATTCTTGGTAGGTACAAGTGTCATTCCCAATCATACATTTTTGCTATATGGAACCCCATGGAAAACAATATGGGCAACACTGGTATAGTGTATTTGTAATGTTATCTAAAAGGAATATATAAATATATGAAAGCTTGCATACAATACCTGCTCAGTCATTTTGCTGAAACTTTTATCTCTAAGGATACCAGCATTGTTGATAAGTATATCAACACGTCCAAAGTTAGCTATAGCTGTTTTTATAATCTTCTCCCCCTCAACAACGGAATTATAATCTGCAACCGCCACACCACCTGGAAAAACAATTCTAGTTACACTCATATTCATAGTATAACATGAAATATGGAACTATTATACTTTCATGTTTCATCTAGTGTGTGAAGTACAGGGGCGCTCTCTTTCACTTCAATTTAATTAAATTGGATTGGTAGAGGTATAGAGGTTTAAACAACAAACAGCATTTAAATTTGCATATGCTAAAACATAAAAACAAAAGACTTTCTGGTTTAAAAACTAAAAATTAATTTAAAGATGTTTTTGAATACAATATAAAGATATGAATAAATATTTTATGGTCCCTGATACCTAATCCAGAAATGTTTTGAATAAAACTGCAATGATATTGAGGCCTGGTCCATTAAACAGTCTTTGAGCTAACCGCAGCAAGATTAGATAAAATAGAATAACCTATTGTCTTCAGTTAATTTAAAGACTTATTTGATTTACTCTTTTATATAAACATAAAGGAGTAAAGCAAATTTTTGAGATTTAATGTACTACAACTACACCAATTTCAATTTTTCTTTATGAGCATTTTGGATATTTAGATTTTACATTTATGAAAAATAAAATTAATAAATGTCAATCAAAAAGTGAATAAACAATACTGAAACTTAAATAAACATGTCATATTTTAAAAAACAATAGTATTGCTCCAACAAATACATTATATCCTTATGTTGCATCAACTGGTACGGAGAAGGTATATGTACATAATATGAGGAACAAACAGGTCGAGTTAAACTAGTAGTTTACCTCATATGTTTGTTTGATGGGAATTCTATTAACTTAAACTACACACTTAATGGAGCAAATAGGCTCAATATGAATCATTATCCTATTTATCAATAGGCTCATATCAGTATACATTGAGGCCACATTTAATAATAGATCTAACTTTGAAATTTATTTCAGATTTATTATTATTAAGAGCCGTGATATCTCAGTGTTCGGGCGCTCACCTTTAATCACATTTACTCTAGCAACCTGAGTAAAATACCCAGAGCCAGCACTAATTGTTAATTTTAAGTGCTGAATTATCATGTACTCAGCGGAAGTACTCAGTAGTGTGAAGGAAAACATTGAGAAGAAACCTGCATTTCAAAATAATAATAAAAAAATATATCGAAAATATGTGAAGTATGTAAGTCGCAGTGGGGCCGCATGGTAAACTATGCCTGCTACCCTCTGCACAGAGAAGGCCTTCGCCCAGCAGTGGGACATTTATAGGCTGTTACATTATTTTTTTTTACCTTTATTTTTGATTTCCTGAACAACTGCATCGGCAAAAGTAGACTTTCCACTGCCATCTCTACCACCGCCTAGATCATTTACAACCACTTTTGCTCCTCTCGATGCCAAAAGTAGAGCATAGGCTTTGCCTAATCCGCCTCCTGCACCAGTAACTACAGCCACTCGATTGTCGAATCGGAGTTGTTCCATTTTCTATTGCACACGATATAGAACTACCACCTAAGTTAAAGATTACTATTCTAAATATTTTATTGATAAGTCTTTGTTATTGTACAGCTATAAAATACTTATCACAATAGTTGATGCCAAAGTCCAACTTGAATGTGAAAGATAATACAAAACATGAACATGCAATTTTTACTCCAACATAAAATAAATAATATTTATAAAAACTAATTGACAAGAACTATGTAATTCGCAATTATAAGAGGTAAGCAAAAAATATTTAGAGATATGTAATACGTATTACAATGGATTGTTAAACAGCACCGTGAACAGAGTGAAGAACTTCGAGATACACAATTACACACAATCACACAAATATGACAAACCAATCAAACAATACCTACTGAATTTTAGAAACATGACATTTACAATTTGACACTGACAATAAAGTTTTTAAATGTGACGGAAAAGAATTTATATATATTTTTTTTATCATTGTTCTTTTGGCGCACTGGACAAAAATTATATAGTCTGAGTGAGTTTTTACAATGCACGCGTGACATGAAATTAACACAATGAACATGAATTTAGTCGATAAATCTCCCAGAACTCTGGTTACAAAATCTCAAAACATTCAAAATTTAATACCGTTTTTTTGGGTTATGCCAAAAAATCATGAATTCTCATGTGCACATACTTATAAGTTATGTTGTTTAAGTTTTGTGAAGTTTATTATACATTACGTAGCCCGCGTTGGCTTTGCAGATCAGATACTGAATTGATAAAAATATTCTTCTTAATGATCAGAATGATCAATTCAAAGAGTTTAACAATCCTTTCGGCAACTCATTTGAAAAGCATTTGACAGCCAATCAACTGACTTCTACGATGATCAGTGTTTCAGAAACCGGGCGTATGTCTATCGTGCAGTGATTGGTTTCCTGAGTGAGATGTTTTAGATGGAAGCTAATAAACACCTGATGTATTCGTTTTTCTTATTGCATTAATAACGCTAACCTTTAATTTTATATCATTCGACAAATGTGAAAAAGTTATGAAGAAATTTAAATTTTTATACTGCTAACTTATAGAAAATAAGGACAAAAGTTTTTCACTGCAGCGAGAATCTCACGTCTTCCGGTTTCACGCACAGTCGCTATAGACACTGTGCTAAACGGCTCATTGCCACACCGACGAAAATCTCAACATCTTTTATATAGGATTGTTTTTTCGCATTTCAAGCAATGCTTGGCGCATCTATTATTTTATCCTGTATATCATACAAACATTTTCAAATATCGTTTTACACAAAATAAACGAAGGAGAGGTTAAGTAGAGGTTCTCATGAGGTTTTTTTTTACACTTTTGCTAAAAGGATCGACACTTGCTGTCCTTTTTAGGGTTCCATACTCAGAGGGTAAAACAGGACCTATTACTAAGACTCCGCTGTCAGTCTTTCTGTTTTCCGTACCCGTTTGTCACCAGGCTGTATCTCAGGAACCGTTATAGATAGATTTTCACAGATGATATAATTCTGTTGTCGCTATAACAGCAAACACTAAAAAACAGAAAAAAAAAGTATTTAAGTGTGCTCCCATACAAAAGACATGATTTTTTTTTGCCCTTTGATAATGGTACGGAACCCTTTGTGCGGGAGTCCCACTCGCAATTGGCTCTTCTTATTACTTTAGTTACGCTATCCTTTGTAAATATTCGAACGTGCTGTTATTCTTTTTGGATATTGGACAACTTTATAATTCTACCCCTAGATTTGTAAGCGTTTATCATATCTTTAAGTAAAAAGTAACATTGGGGCTGTTTAAAATATCAGATTTTCGATATTATGTTGTAGCATAACTATTGCAGTGCTAATAAATTAGAGTACAAACATTTTACGAAGATCTGGTATTTTAATATAATTAGAAAAAATAATAAATAAAACACCTTTAAAAATTTTTACTCTAAATTTTCATTTATTTTATTTATTTAATATTTAAGTTATTAAACCTAACTAAATAACATTATATCGAAATCTCGATATTTCGCTAAAAATGTTAGTAATTAAAATGAATATTTCAGTACTACTTTGTTTGTAGATTTGTATGCCTATAGGTATGGTTGTGTAAACGTAGTGATTACATTCTCTCTGGTTTTGTAGAGTCTTTGCAGTCGGTGGTGTTTCCGTTTGTTTTGTTGTTTCGTTTCGTACGTTGTCCTTTAAAAGTTTAAACCAGAGAATGTAATCACTCCGTTTAAACGCTATTTAAATTCTATTTATATTATGAAAAATGTTTTTAGTTTCGTAGTTCTTTGTAATTAAAATATTAGGAAGATTATCTTAACGAACGGCTTTATATTTATAATAAATACTTTCATGAAACTATTATTTACGAATATATTATCTAATTTCATAAGATGAGTCCGAATACAAATCATGTCATAAACGATCCATTGGCTGGTAAGAACTTTACTGCTAAAGAACTATTTAATTTATAAGTTATACAGAAAGTTAATTGAAAGGACGTACGTCTTATGTTTAATGAAATTTCTTTTCTAGTGATTTACAATGAAGGACATTGGCGGTTGAGTAAAGTATCTCCATTATTTAACTTTCAATCAAATGCAATCAAATTAAAACAATATGCATCGAAAATTCGTCAAGCTATCGTTCAATCAATTTCGGCTAGTTCAGAGATAAAGTATACTGTAGTTTTAGAAGTTCAGCCATATCTCAAATATTCTGAACAAGATTCAGATGGCTTTATGGTATAACTCTCACTTAATTTGTTTATTATCTAACATTTTTGATTGGTGCAATAACAATACTTGATTCTTTAAGATTACAGTTTCATCGTCTCAGGAAAATAAAAATAAATTGAAAATGGTATACAACAGTATATTTCTGTCATGGGGTCCAAGTAGTAGAGTGGCTGATGCTATTCATTTACCATACTTACTTGAACGTGGTGAACAAAAGATTGGGACAGCTGTTAAAACTTCTGTGCAAAACATGTTTGATTGCAATATAAAACAGTTCACATTCACACAAGTATGTTCACATTCTATATCTTGTATAAATTTGATAATAATTACCAAATTTGTAATATACTATTTTATTGTGAGCACTTTCAACTATTTATTTTTCAATGAACTTTCCAAAACTTCTAACAGCATAGTCCACCACACAATCCCAATGCAGATTGTTTGACTGCACATATCTGGACATATTTTTTTATTGTTATTATTAAAATATTCACTTTTTGTCACAATGTTTTTGTTGTCAAATGAGTAGTGCCAGGATTTGAACTCAAAATTGAATTAATAGCAACTGCCTAGATACTGAGCTATCACAACTCTCCAAATATGGGTTCTAAATATTAAATTCTGTCTTATTGAACACTCAGAGAATGATACTACAATACTTGTGTGTGGTAGAAATAATAATAAGAATTATTAATTTCAGCATCAACTGTTACAATTTGGTTTCAACCTTGTTGAGATTGATACATCTCGCAGTGCTGACCCATTCACATTCTGCTACAGAACACAAGCAGATCATAAAAACAAGCTCACTTTAACCTTTGAGATTAGTGATGTCCAGATTCTTTGGAATGGGTAAATAATGACATTTTTACTATGCCCATTTAATGTAATAAAGATTAATTATTTCTTATGCTCTGAATACAGAAAGAAAAGAAGGTCTGAATGCACCTAGTACTGGGGTTTCAAAAAGTACTCTATAGTAGAGTAGTTTGTCACGCAGCCAATTAGTTACTCTATGTATGTTGGTTGCAGTAATGTGGTTTAAAAGTGTCATATTAAAATGAGTCTTGAGTTGTATCTGTAAAAATGCAGCTGACTGATAAAGAAACAGGATAGGATCACATTCCATGTTTAAGTAGTGCATTCACATATTGTCTTATTTAATTATTGAATAAATTATTGTATTTCTAATTGTCATACAGAATGACGCGCCGATCATATCACTTTTTGTATTGAATGAAAATAGCTATGTATAAAAAAATAACATATTATTCAAAGAAATATGAGAAATGTTTTTCTTAAAAAACTTAAGTAGACAAAAATGTAATGTAAATATTTGTTAATGAGCACAAATTTCTCTATATATATTTTATTCTGTTTTTTTTTGTATCCTTAGTTCTTATATGATTACAAATTATGAACAGCAACCCTTTTTATAATTTAACTGAAATTATCCATGGAAACTTGATTTGTTTTTGAATAATAATCTAACATCTCTTTTGTGTATCCAAAACATGCACTTGAGATTGATTCCCATATTATTTGACTCATTATTCTATGTTGAATTTTGTTGTTAGTATTGTAAAATACCAACAAACATAGTTTATTCAATAGGGCAATATCTTTGAACAAAACCAAACCAATATGATGTTATGCACAGAATTTGAAAAATAATCCACATTAATTAAGAATGCACTGTTTAAAAAATTAATTTACAAATCTTAATTAAAAAAAAATTAAGTCTGGATTTGATAGTTTTCTTTGGGATAGTGTTAAAGAATTTAATTTTCTTATAACCAATCAACCAAAAATCATGTTAAATTTCATGTAATAAGACATCTAGTAAAAAGTCTTGTAAGGAAGTTTATTTTTGTTTCAGAATTAAAGAAGAATTTCCTAAATCCTCAGAACAGGCAATATTAGCATATCAAGTATTGCAGAATCAGATATTTTACAGTGCCCAGTTAGATGTGACAGCACTAGATTTATGTGAAGTTAACATTTCTAAAGCAGAAGTGAAAGCAAATGGCACAATAAAGATGAAGACTCCTGAAATTGTAAATTGTGTTTTCACAGTACTGAATGAAATTAGTGATTTTACTTTGAAAGGAAATAATGGTTTGTTGGAATGAACTATGAGTATTTTACAGTCTTCAATATAAGTATTTAATTAAATGAGACCACAATTTTTCTTTAACATTTACTTCATGCATTACGTCTTACAAATGTGTTTGCATAATGTACCTTATCACATTATTTTACTACGATGTGCTAAATATAAGTAAAAACTATTTATGTTATCATGTCTTCCAATTACCTTGCAAGCAGTCCTTTTTATTGTTACATCCCTTGTTGTATTTATTCCTCTTGTGCATAAGTTCATAGGCCTTCTAGGTATAAAATAACACAATTGTGAATAATTTTTTCTGAATGAAAATTAAAATTTTTTACAAGTCTAACATTTAGCAAATTGTCAATTATAAAAATCTTGGAATCCCTGGAATTTCAAAGTCATGGGATGTCCATAATTATAGATATTCAATACATAAATAACTTATGTGACTTCTCTTTTTACATTGACTATTGAATTTGATGGTCTGTACAATGCTTAAGATTTTAAATAGACTGAAAATATGTAAAATATTTGCGTCCTAACTTTGAAAATAAATACACAATCTGTTAACACTTAGTTGTATTTAAATATAAATCTATAAAAAAAAATTTACGCAAAAAAATTTACAGGAGCGTAATAAAATTTCGCGTCAAATACTTGTCGAATGAACTCAAACAATTTGTTTCATGGAACACCATCAATATTTATCAAATAGTGTCTATGTTGATAACAATATTTTGCTAGATATTGTTCTATTTCACAAACATGAAATAAATTATTGCACATAAATATAACAATAAAGTTAATAAATGCCAAAAATTCCTTTTCACACTAACATTTCTTTTTGAGATTGCATCTGGGAAATACTAAAAATGGTATGGTTATCAAAAATCTATAAAGTGCTGTTGCTGTATTTGACTGGACCATGTTTTTTCTCTCAAATTTTATTACAAAGAGTTTGAACTAAACAAACTAAAAATATAAATTATAAAATGGGATCAAAGCTTAAAATATGATTTATACAGTCAAGTAATTTTCCGCACCGGGTCCAGTTTAACATCAACATTTTACTACTCTCATGGGATTATATTACGCAATACGATTTAAAACTTACGCATTAATATTTATCTTATGATTATGAACTATATAGATTTTTACTATATTGTTTCTACAAAGTAAATGGGATTATATGGTTGTAAAGATTATATATGTTGCAACCTGAAATCTACTTTTGACCAATATTTCAATGTTATTTGAATATTTGATAAAAATAGAAAACTGCACCTTTGGTAAGGTAATTTAGAGAAGTTAATGTTGTTACTTATCAGTATAAAAACTACCCTCAATAACCTAAAACTGTTGCATAAAAAGCATATCTTGATTACATGAAAATTGTTTAGCCCAAGTGGTACTAAAATTATTACAATGAATTGAGAGGCAACATATTTCATAGCATATATTATCTAATAAATCCGTCATGCGGAAAGTTCTGAACCATTGTTTGTTGCACACAGCTGCTCCTGTAAAAAAACAATTTTATTTATGATCTTCAATGAAGTTTCATATTGAGAAATCTATATGCAATTTTCAGTTAGTACTTTTACTTGATTCATTTATTTTTTAAGTGGAGGGTGGATATTAATATTTTTTTACAACTGAGCTTTGAGGTTAATGCCAGTTCAACATTAAATAAAAATCTGATTAATGTTTGCAATGCATTCAGTTCCACAATAGCAAAACACAGAAAATACTTTGTGAACTATAAAAATGTCAAACCTCTTATGCCCGCTCTAATGGGCATATCCCTCCTCCCACCTCAGTGTGTGCAGTGCAGTACCTAACAGCAGCCGCCGCCTGCAGCGCCCCCCGCACCAGAGCCACCCGCACCACTCGCCCCACCAGCTGTGGAGTGCTGCGGTCCAATCTTAATACCATTTGCCTAAAAAATGAAAATTTTTGTAAGAATAATATAAAAAGAAAAGAATATCAAGCTACTTATTACATTTATTTTCATTCTATTAACAAAAATTATTAATTTTTAGAGTTCCATACCCAAAGAGTAAGACTATTGTCTAAGGGACTCTATTACTAAAACTACTGTCTGTCTGTCTGTCACTAGACTGTATCTCATGAATATAACATCATACATGATGTGTTTCTCTCGCTGCTATAACAACAAATACTACAAAATAGAACAAAAATATTTAAGTGTGGCTCTCATACAACAGACATGATTTTTATGCTGTTTCTATAGATAATAAATAGTACGGAACCCTTTGTGCACAAGTCTGACTTGCACTTGGCGGTTTATACAATTTCAACAATGTCCATTTAAACATCAAATTTAATCTTACCTCATTGTTGATATCAAAAACACCTTCCTGAATTTTCTCATATATCTCCTTGGCAGTATTAATGAATGCCTCTTCAACATTTGCAGCAGTCTTTGCTGATGTCTCCATGAACACTAGGCCATGTTCACGTGCAAAGGCTTCCCCTTCCTCTTTTTTTACTTCACGCCGAGACTCTAGATCACTAAGTTTAAAAGGTGACAATTGAAAATTAAATTATTAAGTAATAAATTTATTTAAAGAAATCTTTTCTTATAGTTAGTCACCTTTTGTTTCCAATTAACATGATAACCATATTTGAATTGGAATGCTGTCGTGCATCTTCAAGCCAGGTTGTTAAGTGGTTGAAAGTATCTCTCCTGGTGATATCATAAACTAAAAGAGCACCAGCTGCTCCTCTATAGTATGATCGAGTAATCGACCTAAAATGAAAGAGGAAAACTTTTATTAGACTTTGTTTTTAAATTTATTTGAGACCATATTCAAATAAATTTAAAAAATTACGAAAATTTTGCTTGTTAGCTTAGCCATCTTGATTACAAAATAATCTCATTCATTAACAGTAAATTTGTTAGTTTCAGCAAAATAATGGAAGAAATTGGAAGCAACATTTCTTTTTTAACATTTTTTTCATCAATTTTACGAGAGTTTAATGTCCTAGATTAAAATGCATCATTACCGAAATGCCTCCTGCCCTGCTGTGTCCCAGATCTGTAGTTTTATTTGTTTGCCATCAATTGTAATCATGCGGGCTCCAAATTCCACACCAATGGTTAGATCATGTACTGGCTGGAATCTTTTGTCTGTGAATTGTAACAGCAGACAGGACTTTCCCACACCTGAAGCAGCAAATGATAAGGTTTTTTAAATGAAGATTGTTAAAAACAGTCCGAATTACATTAATAACGATAGATTTTTTTTTCTATTTGATAAAAATACAAACAAAGAACGACCTTGAATGTGATCGAGAAGAAATAAAGGTCAGAAATGGTTTATAACTACTTGTGCTTCGTCCAATAAATTACAGTATCGAGCGTAGGCGGAACACAAAAGGTTTTTAACAGTTAATCATCCCCTTAGTAACCCATCCATTACATATTCCATTTTGTGTAAAAGTTTTGTCGTTCAAAAGGCTACATTAAAAATAGCGATTTAATTATAACTACTAAGGACATACATGAAAAACCGCAATGTAAAATATGAGGAAATAAAATCAATACCTGTGTCGCCAATGATGATGTATTTAAACAAGTAGGCGTATGCCATTTTTAATGTATTTTTATTAGTTGATAGAAGAAAGGATCAATACTTTTATACGTTACGCAGTACACAACTGTAAGCACAATTAAGGTACGACGCAATTTTTAGTTTTACGAATCTCACAGATGGATTAGTTTAGTATGTCATTGTAAAAAAATTGAGAAAATTGACACAGAGAAACCATAGATTTAGTATTTTTCTACAAGATTTAAAAGCAACTGTTTCCTTTATGAAGGTAGGTGGTAATAGCTACGAGATATTATTTATGTTTTAGTTCTATTTTAATTGTTCACTTGTATTATGTCCAAATAAGGATTATTATTATTCTGTCAATATTTATTCTGTCTCATAGATAGAATAATATTAATAAGTAAAATATTTCTGCATGTACTCTTCAATAATTCGGTATTATTCAGTTCTTTCGACATATTCTGATAGTACGACTATCCATTACATACAGGATGACAAATTTCTTTTATATAATTTCTTTTATATTAAAGTTACGTTTTTCATATTTGTAAAGATTTTAAAGGAGAGTAATATTTAAAAAGAAATACGTGTACGTGGACGCACTTAAGAAGTTATAATTCCTTAGCGAAACAAAAGAAAAATAATTAAAAATTTTATTCCCTGTGCCAGTACTCTTTTTTTTGTGCAAAAGACATTAAATACAGTTGATATAGTTTAAATAACTTGGGACTTGGAGTGATTATTAACTGTCCCATGTCGGTATCGGTGTGCCCAGGCATCGTGGAAATTTTACACTCTTATTTGTTTCCAAACGCGGAAAAAGAGGTATAAATTAAATTGAAGTTTGAACCTCATTTGATAGGCAGTTCGATAATATTTGGAAGTTAGTCAATTTCTATTACTCGTCTACAGGGTTCGCGTTGCAGAGATGGGGAAAAGGTCATCATATCATCGTCATACACAGCTTCGTTGACAACTTCAGAATCCCTGGGTCCTTTGATGTTTCTTTCTACGAAGTTGTCGAATCTAAGTCGCTGAGTGATCATACTACAAGAAAAAAATTCTATATATCATGACCTTGAGAACCATAAACTTCATATTTTAATACAATCTGTGTTCGTTTTCATTCTGTCAATTAAATCTGTTATATGGGTTTGTTATTAATATAATGTAGGTACATAACTAATTTATAACGATCTTGAGACAATATTTGGTTATTGATAATATTTTTTTTTATGTTAGTAACTAATTTTGTGTGTAACTTCTTCGTTTACCACATTAAATCACTCCTTATTTGCTTGTTAACCTTAAAGACGGACAATGCCGAAGAAGGACAAGTCGCCGTGTTTGTAATAATGGATTCTTTCAATGAGGATAGACCTATAAGTAATCTCATTACACAGGAATGTGATAAGGAGTCAAATAAAGATTTTAAAGGCGCTAACAAGCCTACAGATCAAGGTGATGGAGATGAAAATGTGTTTACATCAATGTCACACCAAAAAAGTTTCAATTTCATTCCAGTAAACGGATCTCGTTCTCGTTGTTTAGATTCTGCTAATAACACAAATGGTGAACAAAAAAATACCCTGTCAAAGGAAAATAGTTTACAGAACGATCTTACCGGCCAATCATGCGTAGGTAATCAGAAACAAGTTTTAAACAATCTGTCAAGTAATAAAACTCGTGAAAATGAATTGCCCAGTACAAGTAAATTTGAGTCTAATCAGGGTGAAAAAGGTAGTGATGTTTATTTGGAGAAAAATGCAAGCTTTAGACACAAACATTGCTTAGATAAAGGGGAAAGTAGCAGCAATAGCATTAATAACGGAGCTTCAACAAGTGGTGAAAGTCAAAATAATGTTTGTCGAGAAAATAGAAAAAGACCATCAACTCTTAAGTTAAACAGACCTACCTTAGATGCTGATGAAAGTTCAAGTGATACAGGCAATGATGATTACTCATTGGGCTCTGAAGATGGATGTATTTACACATACAGAGGTGGGGAACATTTGGCAGACCTACCAAGTTCATTTTTTAGTCTTGATATGGGTTTGCCATTAGATAGGCACTTGCCTTTACTCCCAAATTATCCTGTTAATCAACAGGGTGCAGCAAATGCACGGGAGCAGGGTTCAGGGGCATCAAGTCCAGATATGGATTTCCTAGAAATGGATTTTGACCCTGGGCCTTCATGTGAAGCTGATACAGGTGATGATTCAAGCCCTGATGCAGATTTAGAAGTTGCAAACAGCATGCTTGAAGAAAACGAACCTGCCATCAGGGGTACATCCCCTGAGTATGTACCTGGTCCAAAATTAAATCCATTACCATCTGCACCAGCAACCTCGGCAAGCAATGATACCGAACCTCACTATTTCAATGTGCCATCTACAAGCCGAGGCCCAGATGTACCCCAAAATAATGTTCAAGTGGAAACCACATGTGATCATGAATACGGGCCTTATATCATGCACACAAATTTTAGGGGTGAACAGTTTTGGGTTAAGAGAACAATGTCCACTTGTCCAAACAATGCATCCTCTACACTACATGTATCAAATGGTGATTTGGTATCCCCAAGAGAAGCTTTGAATTGTAAGTAATCCACTTTCTAACAGTAATTAATAAACAATAAAATATAAGGTTTTTTTTAATATAAATAGTGGTAATTAAAATTATTTTGTATAGGAGATATATTAGAGGAGATATATTTTTAATAGGAGTATATATATCTAAGTATGTGCACATGTTTTAGATGAAGAGGATCATCAAGATGGACAACATGCTTTCCAGATCAATCAAAGTGAAAGATCAGTTGTTGATTCATCAAGTTTTTCTTCAGCCTTATATCACATAACAATGGCAAAGAGACTGATGATTGAGAAAACATGGTCTGATGTTGAAAATCATGATGCTGCTAATATGGTAATGAATTGATAAAATTTGAGAGCTCAACTTGTTCAATATTGGAATGCTAAGTCTGTTTTGTTGTTTTGTTTGTTATTCTATAATCTTGCCAAATGTATGACATCATTTTGCGTTGCAAATAAAATTCAAGCATTGTGACCTCGGTTGCAACCTTATAAGCCATGTTAAAACATAGTAGTAAACATTATGTACTACATCTACAGCTGTAAAAACTATTGTAATGAATTTTACATAATTATAGTCAAGTAAATTGGACTTTGCATATTGTTTCTCTTGTAGATATTGGCTTAATTTAAAACTAAATTTTGTTTTTTGTTAACAGTCTCAGGAACAAGGTGCAGATAGCATTGATAGTGAAAATGGGTGTGTTGATCCACCACGGTGTATGGTATGGTCTGAACGTGAGGCTTGTGAACGTCAAGTGACTCAGATAGGCACATCAGCGTGTGGTGCTACAGCTGTAGTTAATGTTTTTGTAAGTTTTGAATTTTCATTTTTATGTTCCTGTTATTAATATAATTATTATATAGTAAATATGCTCTTTTCAATTTATACTCATTATGCACATGTGAATAATGAAAGCTTAGTCTAAAATCTAAATGATGACTATGTCATCATTAAACCAATATAGAAAGAGCTAATTTGTGGATATCCTCAAAAGATTATAAGTAGTAAGTTTTCGCATTTCTGTTCCTTTCATTATAATTTGTAAAATTTTAGACACAAAAAATAGCTTAATTACTGTTTGCCTACTTTTTTATTGAATTCAAAATAGTAAAATATGTTCTCATGCTGATTTTACACTTGCATATTGTTTTATTTTTGGTATAATGATATTTTGAAGTTTTATTTATTGCCAAAAGAACAAAGTGTACTTATGTTTAGAAATAAATGATTTTGATTTATATAACATAACATTTATTATACATATTTTTTTAATATGAAGTAAATATTGAAGTAAAACAATATCATTACAAAATTATTAACTATACTTTTTTATTCTTTTCAGATTGCTTTAGGTGTACCTGTAAACATTGAGGAAATAAATACTGCTGTAGGCACAAGGCAAAGAGCTAACAATGCACCATTGCCCAGGTAATTTGTAAAGTAAAAAGTCAGTTACCTTACAAGTCACACTACTTTGCAAAGGTCTTTCTCTATAGATTGTTTCAAGGCAGAGTCTTTGTTATAATCTGCGAGTATAACTTCATTGCAGATTAGCTGACATCACATATTTTATTGTTATCATTTAGATAATAAGTTGGTTTCTTCATGAAAATAAAAATGCATGCCATGGTCGAATATTGAACACTGAGTTATGGTAGTTGAGTGTCTGGGTATTCAAGTAGAAGGGAAGGAAGTGTGCAAGCCCTCAGTATAAGCCAATTTTTTAAGTAAAAAATGGTATATTATAACCAAAGAATTTAATGAACTTTTATGAACTAATAGCGCACTTGTTATTTATAACAATGTGTTCTGGTTGGCCACTTAAGAACGTTTACGACTCGCCTCGCCCATCAAGTTATGGTTTCTATATTCATTGGTACACACTACACGCACACAGAAGAGGCGGGGCGAGTGTGTGTAGATGCCATTTGTTGTCTGTTATTATATTCAAACTAGCAGTTTGATCCATTTTATTAATGGTTATAGCAAACATATAAAAGGAATTAGGGTAATGAATAAGATAATGCTACTAGTATATAACATGGCGTTACTACCGCGTTCATAAATCAACACACATATGTTTTACATACATATAGATTAAAAATCAATATTTACAGAGGCCTTATGTAACCTAAAGCTCATTTGTAAAGGTCTCAAAGCATATGAACTGGTTGGATGAATTTAAAAGACATAAAACATATTGGTAGAAGGAGAGAGAGACTTATAATGCGACAAATGAAATAGTCTCTGAATGTATCAATCAGTCAGTTGTAGTTGTATAGGATGTTACAAATTTTGTTTATTTTTTTATTTAATTAATTTGTTTGAAAAATTTTTTCGTTTTTAATTATGTCTTTTTTTAATGTTCTTACTTTTTGAGGTATACTTACCACTACTACAGCCCAACGGTTTTTGTCATAAAAGGATTTGCTATAAATAATTTACCTTTTATGTTTTTGTATGCCAAAATTTGAATTTTGCATTATGTATAACAATCAAAATTTGCCGACCGAAAAATTGCTTGACCAGTAGCTTAATGCTTGTCTCGTTTTTAGGTATTTGCTGTCACGTTCCGTAGCTGGTTGTACCGCCGCAGATCTGATAACAGGAATACAAAGGGCTTCCGATGGATTGGTTACTGCCCGGTTCTTTCCCACCCACCCAGAGAGAGCTATCTCTCTTTCACACTGGCTTGCTGATTGGATATCTCTTGGTGAGTATTATTTAGTTTATTATTTATCTTTTTAAATTGATTTCTAGTGATATACAAAGCATCTCGTTTCATATTGGTTATATATTTTACTCCTTTATATCAGGAGCTCACTACAGATATAAGTACTAGAATTTTTAATAATTGAATAGGGATCAAAATAAGTGAAATTGATTCCATTCCAATATATAATACTAATAATACACTCAAAGTAATAAAATGCGATGTACACGTGTGATATAACTAACTTTTTTTTATATGAAAAGTTGCCAAACGAGCAGACGGTTCACCTGATGTTAAGTGAATACCGCCGCCCATAGACATCTGCTACTATTGACCCGAGGGTTTGCAGATGCGTTGAGAACCTTTTTGGAAATTGGGCTCCGGCTACCTCACTCACCAGATGCAACGCGAAAGTATTTGTCATACTTCCACTTTACGCCGGTCTTCTGTGAGGTCGTGGTACTTACCCGGACGACCCTGCCCATTCGTGCAACAGCCGAGGCTGTTGCGTGGCTCTACCACCGTAGAAATTTACTTCCAACTTAAAATATACCCAAGCATAATTTAGCCGAAAGTTTGAAAAAAATGTTTTGAACATTAAAAAAACTTCCCGAGCAAAAGAAATTTATTTTTAAAAGAAATTTAACTTTATTTATTTCAATGGAGTACAATGGAGTAAAAGTAAGCGATTACGTATCTTGTTATGTTTATTTCCCACAAATGGGCAGATTATATATTTCTTCAAGGAAGGTGCGTCCGTCGTCAATCGTTGTAAAGGGAATTGAGCCATATCTCTAAATACGGATATATTAGCTCGCTCGCGAGCTGCACAACTTTAAACTGTTGCAATGTTTCCAATTTAAAGGAGCTGTGCCAATACTCACGTTAAATTTGCAAGTTGGATGTGATGGCGAGATACCAGATGCGTGGCACCATCAAATGGTCTTTGGAGTTTCCCCTCGTGGTGTTTACCTGTGTAATCCAGTCGAGTGTGTGCCTGAGACCGTGTTGTGGCCCCGTCTGACGTCACCCTCAGTGTTGCTGGTGCGGACAAGAGATGTTCTCGCCAGATTTACGACTGATACAGACTTGACGCCCCTCATGGCTGTTCCGGATAGGAGATTCCATACTTTCAATGTTCTCGGTAAGTTGTAAATAATAATAACTGCTCTAAATCTCTACGGCATTTAGTGTAAAGAATTTAATTAAAAATGTTGCTCCAACTGTGCGTGCAAGCGTGATGCAACAGACTTCTACTTCTAGACACGGCAGTTCCATACGCTTTTTTACATTTGTTTTTACTTTTTTTAAAATTATCAGTTTCGAAATTTTATCAGTAAACTATGATATGCGTGGGCGCGGTGGCTTAGGTTCCAGTGTATGGGGAATAGCGGAGTAGCTTGTTAGCTATAAAAAAATTGTTTGTATGAAATAAGTTACCGCTACGAAATTTTTAATGTTAAATATTATTCCGACAGAACCTGGTCTGTGATCTGCCTGCTCAAAATGTCCGCTTCATTTGGTACCTTATTCGCCTGTTCATTCACTTTAAGCGCCGTGCCATTTTGCAAACTTATAAACACGCGATACGGATCTAATCTTCTAGATCTAAATCTACAGAGAGATCTACAGATCTAAGAGAAAAGAGAAGTTAAAATAAAGTGAATACAACTAGATCTAAATTTTAGCATTTAGCCTCCGATTCATAAACTGAAGCACGTAGTCGCGCTCTAAGGGTTCCGTACCATTATCAATAAAAACTCCAAAAAAGTCATGTCTGTTGTACGGGGTCCCACTTAATTATTTTTTTTAATATTTGCCATTAAAGCGACAACAGAAATATCTTTGTTATTATCATCTGTGAAAATTTCATCTGTCTAACTATAACGGTGACATACGGACAGACAGACAGCGGAGTCTTAGCAATAGGGTCCCGTTTTACCCTTTGGGTACGGAAGTCTAAAAACGTTTACATCCAACGATTGTGTCGTACGTCTTTTTGTTCTTCTTGGCTTGACTTGAATGGCCTCGTCCCGACAACATAACTTCGCCCACCCCTGTGGTGAAACCACTATAGCATAAACCTCCTTAAGCCATTGTCGCCCTTAGGTCCGCTGTACTGACCTATAGAGGTCCAGTCACCCGCGATCCCTGTGTGTCGTACGTGTACTGTATCGACGATTTCGCCGTGCGCGCAGGCCAAGTGGCGAACGTGATACGCGAGTGGCGCGCCCACGGGTGGGCGGGGCGCGTGGGTCGCTCGGGGCACGTGCGGCTGCCCGCCTCGTACCGGGCGGGCGTCACGGTGGCCGCGCTCACCGGCTCCGAGGCGCACCGGCGGCTGGTGCACGCCGCCCCGCCGCCCCCCAGCGGCGCACCAGGGCACGCGGACCCAGCCCCGCACTAGCCGGTACGCGGACCCACCACCCTAGCACCAGCCGATACGCGGACCCACCCCGCACCGGTCGGTACGCGGACCCATCCTCGCAGCAGCCGGCGCGGACCCATCCCGCCATTTACACATTTTTGGATGTATGACATAAATTCACATTTTTAAGACATAAAACAAGTCAATTTTTTACCGACTTCAAAAGAAGGAGGTTCCCAAAAACTGAAGTCAATTTTTTACCGACTTCAAAAGAAGGAGGTTCCCAATTCGACTGAATTTGTATTCATTTTATAATGGATTAACCTAAGTATCTCGGCAACCCAAGATCCAATACCAAGGAAATTAATATGAAACCACACGGGAAGCGCCAGCTTTCAAATAAAAAAAGAATCATCAAAATCGATTCACCCAGTCGAAAGTTCTGAGGTAACAAACATAAAAAAAAAACAATTCAGTCGAATTGAGAACCTCCTCCGGTTTTGAAGTTTCTAATGCTTTACTTTGCTTCGAATTATCAACAGGCAAGGTGCTGGCAACTCTAACCTATTTCTGAAGCTCTAACCTATAATTCATCGCGACGAAGACAAATTTTTCATGAGAATAAGCAGACGAAAAGATATTTTAGGATACCACCGAGTTTTTGTTTAAAATAACACTTCATTTACTATATGTTGTTTGTAGTTTTAGCGTTGTTCATGTAATATTCTGTAACATTTGTTAGCGCAATTAATTCATATAAAAATATTTTATAAGAACACTTTTAAGCAAAGAAAAAAAAAAACAATATTACATTCTGTGGAATGAGGACAATTCTTTAAGACTTGCATTATAAATAACTTTTACTGGATGTAATTTATGTAAACCTTCAAACACTTTAATTTTTAGTTGCATGATGAAATTATCTAAGGCCTGAACTGATTTCAGTCGCTCAAAAGTATATTTTTTAGTTTTATGTACAGTAGTAATCTATTAAAAATTTTAGTAAACCATATTATGTTTATCCAACCGAAGCTATGGTATTGGCTAAATTTTATTAGCCATACGACGAGTTATTTTGTAAATAATTTGGTAAGACATAATATATTAGTCAATTGGTGCTTACTAGTCAAAATTATGATAGCACGACCATCTTTATCATTTAATTATTAAATATACGTTAATGAGTGTAACTGTGTTCGTATTAAATCGTACCCTCACGTGTTAACTTGCTGTATTTATTGTAATTTTTCTAAAGGCACAAAAACATACAACATACAAAATTGAGATTTGATAATTATTGACAGACATTGCGACGTCTATAAGTGGAAAGTATGCGAACCAAGCATACGATTTCTATATTTTGCTCAGCATCGTAATAAAATAATTTTACTTTATAATTTAATGGAGCAAAGATTTATCAAAGAAATGGTCGATATTCATTGGCCTAATGTAAGAGAAATAGTCTAACCAATTTCTTCGTTCAGACAGCTCACGGTTAAGGTTAGTTTTTAATTTGTATTTATAAAGTTAATTTATGTTAAAACTTAGCGAGATTAAATCTCATTTTTATTTAAGTCATGGAGTCACATCGCAATGTCTGGAATTAAATAAGTAGTGTCATAAAAAAAATGTTGGTCTATATTAATTTGAAAGGTGTCGTGCGTTAAATTTAAGGTCCTTCTGTTAATAAATTCGCGGTATCACTGCGAATCTTTTGCGTAACTATTGATATAAAAGTAATGTTATGTATTACATTATATTTTTGGATTATACTATGATAGAATAAATTTCGTTTTATTTCTGCGCTAAGTGCTAATGAATAGACTAAAATCTTAGTATTATTATTATTTAACTTATATATTTTTATGCTCTTTTTGGATAAGAATTATCTTATATGCTTTTTGCCAAATTTCGTGATTCTAGGTCAACGGGATTATAGGTTTTCGACCCAAAAACTAAAGAGGGGACTTGCACTTCCTAACGGCTCTAACGATTTTCATGAAATTTTGCATACAGGGGGTTTCGGCGATAAATCGATTTAGCTAGGTTCGATTTTTAGAAAACGTTGTTTTATCCGTGTTTTCAGGCAAAGAAAAACAGCTATAATATCATTAGAATACGAAGGTAAATTTCGCCACCATCTATAAGGTTATGTAATAGATCAGGTGGGAAATCGGGCGGTCCTGAAACCAGAAGACACAGATTCGAGGTCAAATATTTTTTTAATTTTTTTTGTTAGAAAAGAAAACCGAGAAACTCTCGGTCATCCAGGTACTTAAACATAAAGGAAGAAAGCAAACAAGTTGATTTTTAAATAACGGGCACTCCAAGTTTGTTTATTTGTATGGATAATACAAGGGCCAGAGCCGTGATAGCTCAGTGTCCGGGCGCTCGCCTTTGATTCAATATACTCGAGCAACCTGAGTTCGATCCCCGGTGCCGGCATCAATGAAGTTTTTAACTTTAAGTGCTGACTTATCACGTGTTCCGCGGTGAAGGAAAACATCGTGAGGAAACCTGGCATATTTTCGAAAGTAACAAAAAAAATGTTTTTCGAAGAATTGTGAAGTCCGCCAATCCGCAGTGGGGCCGCGTGGTGGACTATGCCCTGATACCCTCTGTATAGAGGAGGCCTTTGCCCAGCAGTGGGACATGTATAGCCTTTACTTTTATAGATAATAATATATAACAGTAAATAATGTACATAATAAGAAAAAATATCTATTTCGGGCGCACGCTAAAACTCGTGCGGGGGCACGCCCTCTTGTCTATATTGAAAAATATTACGAGCAGCGCTAACTGGCGCTGGTGCAGACAATAATTTTGCACCCGATCGGTACGCTAATAATATAAGCGTTGGTGTGTATGTACATTGCATAGGTACTGTTTAATTCTTGCTCTCGTCCAAGCTTTTTACGTTGTATGTTAGTATGTGTATTGTTAACACGTACATTATTAAAAAGGTGTATTATTTATGTTTTGACATACGGAGCCGATTGACGCCCACGGTACGGTTACTCCACAACGGGTCAGGCTCGGAGTATCTCCGAAGGATCATCTCCGGAACGAAATGATCCGACAGGGAACTAAGATGACCGACATAATTATCATCATTTCAGCCTGCTTGAGTATATGGAACCAACATAGCTCTAAGGTTTAGCAAGTTGTAATGGTAGTGGGCTGGCCATATTAGTCCCAGAATTGATTATCGTTAGGGTTTTAGACGTGTTTTTGAGTGGAGGCCGCGTCGCAGCAAACATAGGTCATAGTGTAGGACGCCCCCAGGCAGGGGAGCAAAGCAAGCAGATCTTTGCAGGGTGGCTGGAAACAACTGGATGCGAGAAGTCGAAGATCGTATACGATAGAATGCAATGGGAGAAGTTTATGTTCAGCAGTGGACTGCGATAGGAAAATGATGGTGATGTTGAAAATGATGATTTTTATTTGAGTGAATTGAATGTTTTATCTCCTTATTGAATAAATTTTTCAAGTATGCCATACTGATGTCGTAATGAGTCGTGAGTATGGGCGTAAAAATATCAATACTGAAACTATTATTTCCTATTTTAGTTACCATAATACTCTCGTGCCATCTCTTCTTTTTTCCTTTAAATCGTGTAAAATATACACCAACTTGCGTCACTTACTCGTATATCACGCGCTAGCAAAATCGTACTACACATTAGAATGTGTAGTACGATTTAGGTTGGTTTTCAGTCGCTGGAAACCATCAAACCATTCCATCTACGGAGATCGTACCAGAACATGCCGGTTTTGTCAAGATAAGTAGATCTTAATAGTTCGCCAGATCATAGAAAATCGCGAGAGTTTAACAAGCCGACTTATTGCTTTGTTGAATTTCGAAGGCATTTGATTCCGTAAAATGGCCTAACCTTTGGGACGTTTTACTGGATTTGGTTACACCGAAACACTAAGTCCTCTAAGACCCCTGTAAGGGTGATAATCTCCTCAGACATCTTTGTAAGGGTGGAACCACATGTGTGAAGATGTGTGAGCCTGGGGTTCCAAACCCACATAAAGATAACCACATTAAAATCAATCCTACATTTATCTTGGAATTTTATTTTCCAAAGATAGTGGTTAAGACTGAAGTGAAGCGACATGCGGCAATGACAAGAACAAGAACTTCAATGGACAACCTGATAAACAGAAACATAACAAAAGCTACGGAGTTCTGTTGTGTTCTTGTGTTCATAATATTTTTACACACTTCCGAGGAAGTGGAGAACAAAAAAAAATAGATCTTTGAAGATGTGGCGCTGGAAACGTATGCTACGTGTTACATGGACCGAATTTCGCACACCAAACCACTCTCACCAAACGCCTCTATTATCTAAGAACATGTGGTCGGAAATCGGCTTATGTTGGTCGTGCAAAGTTGCATTTTTGAGCGTCTTGTGATGCAGGGCGAAGTTGAGCGTATGAGAAGGGGTGAGGGAATCTATGGGCATATTTTATATATAAGGACACAGTCAAAAGTAGAGATGGGTCGTATCGCTTTTTCTGAGTACCGTATCTGAATCAGATATCGATTTCAAATATCAGATTTCGAAACTATGTATTTTAATATCTAGATATTTTACGGTCCCGTATCCACCTTGAATTCTAAAAAAAAAAAAAAAGAGTATTTAAAAGTTGATTCATTCTATGTACATAATTTTCCTGATATTTAAAACTTAACTTATTTACAATGATGTGTGGGTTAATAATTATTTAGATTCCTCCGGGTTTAAATTCACGTTTACGAACGTAAGCTGTTTGCCTTTATTCGTCGAAAGTCTTGTTCGACGATCATTATACCTATACTTAGCTAGAGCTATTACCAGTGATACCAACTGTTCAAAAAGAATACTTGTAATAAATTCGAAAACTCACTCAAATTGACTAAATTCAAAAAACTTACTGATTTTAAAATCACGATTTTTTTATACTATTAAGGTAAAATTAAAACATTACCTGATTAAATTAAAAATTTCATAAAAAATACAAATTGAAGTAATATAAAAATGATTTAT